CTCCGAAGTGCTGAAGTAGCAGATATATGTCTGTGTTTTTATTTGTAAGGTCAGGAGCACTAATTCATAGCTTAGGGATCATCAGCACAGTGAGCTGACAACAGAGTCAGTCCAGCTTGTGTTTTCTTACAGTCGCTCAACAGAAAATCAATGGTGTCAGGAACATTGGGATAATTCTACTGTTGCAATCAATGCATGCTGATTAAACTAGTTGTGTCTGTTGGGTAAATTTGCTGCATCATAATTAGAATTATTAATTAAAAATAGGAAATCAATTGACACAAATTAAGCAAAAAAGAAATTTGCTTTATTTCTTTGACACTCTCTCCAGAGGCCTCAATAACTGTGACACATGGATGTGACCGAGTGGCATTTGACAGTTTTTTAATGCTGTCCTGAGTTTTAAAAATTGACTTATAAAAGCCTGCTAATGCCGCTCCCAGGAAATCAGACATGAGATGTTGTATGTGCAAGAAGCCGTTATTTGTTTTATTACAGTTAGTCATTACTCTCTGCCTATCCAAGAGGAAAAGGCAAGAGCCCCGCGCGTGTCACCGGGGAGCGGAAGCGGCTGGGGAATGAAAGCCTTGGGGAGCAAGATGTAGCCCATCCCCTTATCACATCGTTTTCTGTTTTCATTTAACAAGGATAAACAAATTGATCATTTCTGTGGTGGTTGTAATGGGCTACTCATTGCTGGCTACTCCCGATAATATGCTGGTGACCTTCCTTACTTTCAGGGGCGTGCTATGTGGGACACTGAAGCAGGGAGCCCTTGGCAAGGCTCTTTGCAAGGACGGCAGGCATGTACGTCTTCTTTCCTTTCAGCTGTTCTTTTTTCTCTCCGTTGTTTCTGGATTTTATGCTGGTTTTCTTTTCTTTCTTTTAACCTATTTCCCTCTTTGTTCTTTCCTCACATACATTTTCTCCTTCTTTCCTCCCAAGTCTTGGTGATTTTCTTTTCTCCACCTAATACTTTCCATCCCATGTTTTCTTCCTCCTGTTCTGCTTGCACACATTCAGCAGAGGAGAGCAGCATCGAAGTGCAGGAATACTTTGGGGCTACACACTCCTGTGGTTTTGCTCCACATACAGCCAAATATTTGCTCTGAGCTTTCACACCTATGAGTGATCTGAGGGCAAAAAGGATGAGCGGTCAGGGTAAATGCGTGACTGGTAACTGGTGGTGCTGTATAATAGAATGTACTTTTGCTAATCATTGGTGGTAAACTAGTTTCCCAATTATATCAAACTCACGTGGTGATTTGATTGCTAAAAAGAACTCTTTGTAAGAGCTCACTTATAGGAGAAAATCTTGCGTGTGGAAAACCTTACGGGTAGACAAATGTGTCATGAAGTGATCCAAGACAACTACCCTGTAACAGTCCTCAGCCAGTCCGTGCATACAAACATAAGCCTTGCCTCTGCTCAGTTCTGGGATATCTCGGACATTTATTTTTGATTTTTATAGCTGCTGACTTATGAATGGCAGACTTTTAGGACCAGCTATACAAGATGAATGGCTTTGAGCTTTTCTCAAAAATTTGTACACACCACTGAGATTTAAGAGCGAAGTGTGCAAGTATTCCCCCGAGAAAAGCTTTGCTGTTGTTTTCTGCCATCAGGCTCTCCAGTAGTTCCTAATGCACAGCGTCCTTTCCAAGTGTTGCACAATGGCTTTTCATTAGCCCGCTGTGAATTGTAACGAACATTATTTGTAAGCTCTGGCACCTTTATTATTATATTTTTAATCTTATTTTTCTCAGAAATACCTTTCCCTATGTTAGAGTGCAGTAAGTAGTTGATAACCTGGGAAATTCATCTCAGTAAAGAATAATTCCTCAAATCTTCACAAAATGCAAGATCAAAACCTAATAAAAATCATAACTGATCCACTCGTCTAACTTAAAATATTTAGGGGGGAAAAAGTCCTCAGCTCTTTGATTATGATTGCTATAAATTACATTTCGCTAAGGTCCTTTGTAAAACAGGGAGTATTTTCTTCTTTAATGGGGTGGTGAAATGCTGATAGGAAAACAGTACTAAGCATTCCTGGCTTTTGAAGTTAAAATTAACTGGCCTGTACATTTAACTCCAATAGTATTTAGATCATTGCTAGTGATCAAAGTATCACTGCCAGATGTGCTAGTGAAAAAGAGTAACGTGATCGAATTCGTATAGTTTTTCTAGACCTGAAACTGGTTTTTAAGGTGTTTTACAATAACAGTATCTCACTGAAGTATATTTCCAGGAACAGTCAAAAGTAACAGCAAATAAAAATGTCTTTACTTTAAATGCCAAGACAGATTGAGTGGTTTGCACAAGAATCAGGAAGAGCAGAGTTGTTAAAAGCCCTAATTCCAAAGACTTACGGTTGTATCTCAGGCGGGCTGAGCAAGCTGCCAGTTCTGACCTCACTGACAATTGACAACATATGGATACCATGGAGGATCTTTCAGATGTATTTGAGCACAACTGTTGAGTGCCTTAAAATTAAGCTGTAAAACCTTGGCATCGATAAAGAATTTTACAGCGCTAGTGTAAATAGTGTAAAATAGGGTGGATGTACTGAAGCAGTCAGAACCTGCGAGGAGGAATGCTGGCGGCTGCACTCGGGGTGAGCTGTGCTCCGAATGGGACGTAATAAAGATCTCCCACAAGGAAAATGTTACAATAATTGAGACTTGAGAAAACAAGGACTTGGAACGACAGTTTCAAATCTTTTTTACTAAGATTCAACCTGGCAATATTTTGTGGGTGGCAGCTAGCCGGCCTGTTGCCAGAACAAATCTGAAGATAAATTGGGTTATAAGGCTACGTTTGGAAAGCAAGCGGTGTCTTTTGCTTTCATTTCAGTGGGCTGTGGATCAGGATTTTAATTAGCATATCTGCTTTGTAAGTCTTTGTTGTAGTATTTGTTATGTGTATAGAACGGCTGTCAGCATGGTACCCGACTCCACAACTGGGTCCTGTTGCCGCAATAAGTGAGATGTAAACAGTCAGCACAGTGGTTCGCCTGTAACTGGAGGGCAGGCAGAAATCAATTGCAAGGTTATCTTTCTAGGTGTAGCCATGACAAGCTACAATTACTATTTTTTCAGAGGCTTAGAAGATGGAATTAGTTAGCTTACGCATAAAATGTGCTGCTTGTTGCTTGGCAGTCAAGTGGTGTTTTGATTTTTAATGAAATTCAGGGTATTTGCCTTGTAATTGTTTTAAGAGTCCGTAGGTCTAAGAGTTAGCCTGAAGTCACTTGATTGGAGCAGGCAAAAGTAACACCTTGAAATCTGTGTTCGGCTCTGACATGCTGTAGAAACTTTCAAAACATAGTGTTATCACCCATTAATTGTTGACTGTAGATCCCTGTATTTAAAAATTGCACAGAAACTGATACCAAACTTCTAAAAATTGAATCCTTTTCCAGACTATAAAAAGTTGGCTTCAGCTCTTTTATGCAGGTCCTCTTGCAATTCCTAGGAGGGAGGACAGAGAACAGGACAGCGGTTTCAACAACGACCATGAACGTTGGTGGTCAGAGCCGCCCTTGCAATGAATTAAGAGATTTTGTTATGCAGCTGCTAAAAAAAGTGTTCCTGTGTTGCTTTCAACTCTGTTCAGCTGCTGTATTGCTAGCTGCCAAAGAGTCTTTCCACGGTCGACTGACCCGCTGGGTTAAAGAATTGGAAAGTTGTGAGATATAGTCTGGAAGAAGCTGATTGAATTGCCATGTTTACTGCAGTTCCTCAACAACTTCCGTGCTTTGATAGCAAATTTAAAAGGTTAAAAATGCAGATTTTTAAAATTATGTGCACCTGTGTTCTCAAGTCTCAGTGGGAGGTCACCTTCTTAATCTCTTAAGTGCACAGACCCAATAATTCCTACTACCGTAATACTGATCCCCCAGTTTAATTTTCTGTGTGCCTTTCAAGAGTCGAGGATAATTCTTGGGCTCATAATGTTGCTTTCAACTCTTCCTTCTTGCAGATCTGCCTAGGAATGAGTGAAATGAGTCAACAGTAGAGGTTTTTTTAAGCTTTCTTCAAGATTTACACCAGCTCCCTGACAGAATTACACCAGCTCCCTGACAGAAAATGTTAGAATTCTTTTAGTTTGACAGAAATTAAGGATGTGCCAAACAGAGGAGTCTGCATATGCGAGTTACAGAACAATAAAGCATTTAAACTTCGCTGGCGATGAGGTCTCTGTAAGGACAAGTCCTTCTGGTACAATATGAACTTAATTCTTTTTACATTTAAAAAATTTAATTAACCAATATTTAAAGAAGCTCCAACAGTCTCTGTATGTGTAGTTTTACTGCCTTTTGGATCCCTTGCCTTGCAAAAATTCCAGTTCTGCAACCCTGGCAATCAACGGGGAAACAAAACATCCCAGGTCTTAGTGCAGTCTGTGGAAAATCTTGCAGCAAATATTGTGTAACTTGTGTAACACAATGGGTTCTGTTTTGCTAGAGCCCAAGTGAGTGAGGAGATCAGCACAGGTCTGTAAAAACCAATGTCAGTGATAAAGGTGATGGAAGAAAATACAGAGGAACAAACTGTGGCTGGAGGATCCTGTGTTGCCTTAAAGAGAGGTAGAGCTGGGACCTGTAAAACCAGGAGAGAGGACCGTATAAAGCGGAGCCTTTTTATTGAATTGCTATATATCATTTGTGTAAATGCAAGACTTTAAGATTTTCTTCAGTTTCTCTTGTGTGGTTTTCTGGTGCAAGCCAGTAGGCTTCACACAGCTGGGAAAGCCTGGGATCAGGAAGTGCCCCTTTTCCCTGTGCATCCAGCCTCTGTCTTGTTTTGACTTTGGGAAGCTCGGGGGATGGCACTTAGAGAAAATGAAGAAGTGATTACTGTTTTAGCCATCTTTAATTAGAATCTCATTATGCTGAATAAGCATTTATTAAGGTTGCATCCACTTTGCAATCAGAGGGGTGATTGAAGCAGACAGCCCTGTTATTTCTACCCAGCCTTTGCAATTACCGGCACTAGCGAAGCCAAGGGTAGCGAGGGCTTTCGCCGGTGCAGTCGTCAGCACGGGTACGTTGGTGATTGTTGCCTCGCCCGCGTTAAAGACAACACTGCTGAAGCTTCGCTGCTCTCCTTGCCTGACAGAGCTGGAGTACAGCCAGCTCAACAGGCCTGTGCCTGCCGCAGTCACGTTGCCGGACGCTGTGCAGATGTGGCCCGAGTGTCACTTAGTGTCGCTTGCCGAGCTGGGACTGGCCGAAACGATGTTGAGCGGGAGGCAGCGGGGGTTCTTGGCGTGGTACCTTCCCCAGGACGTTCAAGTCCTGCACCGAGCCGCACGCCACTTCGCTTTGCGTACCAGTGATGATGTTCGTAACAAGTTTACACTTTTCGAACACTATTATTGATGGGACACAGAAAAATCCTTTACAAATTAATCTCTGTATACATAAAAGAATCATTTTTCATATGTTTAATTCAGCACAGAATTATAAATGTGAAGAAATATACTATAAAGTATTTATAGCATAAATTTAGACTTTAGAACTTGGAGCTGTTCTATCTCAGTGCTACCACTTATTTTCTGGGTAGCTTTGTAGTTTAATGTAATTTGACTGTCTCAGTTTCCTTTCTATGAAATGGTGATAAAATATGTTTTCTAGCCCATAAATAGACCATGAGAATTAGTCAGTGTCTGTATGGGACTTCGGTGATGGAGGCAATTCTATTAAATGTGCAAAAAACCTACACATTTTGCTCTTATTGCACAATTTAGAACCCAGATAGTTGCATATTGTCATTTTTTAATTATACCAGCAATCTTTGAGTTTTATTTAGTAATGTACTCTGAATAATTAATTATTCAACTAATAATTATCCATTCCAAATAAACCAACTTGATTACTAAGCCTGATGAGGAAAATCCAGTCAGGAAATAACCCTGTCAAAAACAACAACATTCTGCAGATATCCTTAAATATTTAAAGGGTGAGCTATATTTAGTATATTCTTCCGAAGGGGGAGGGGGAGACGAACGGATGCTAATTTCCTGTGTCATCAGATTCGTGTATGTGTGTCAGCAGCATTCCTAAATCACCATCTACTACACAATCACCATCTACACAAGCATCAGCCGGTGTTCAACATTTCCCTGGGTGATTCCTGTTTATCAGCACGGAAAACGGGCTACGTTGGGGTCACGTCATCTTCTTCTCATCGATTATTTAATATTTGGTGTGTGCGTGCGGTGTTTGCTCTGCTCAGATATTCAGCAGTGAGCAGAGAACCTTGCTCAGCAAAGGAGACATGAAAGTTGTGGCATCAATGTCATTTTCCAGATGGCACTAACTTAACCCACGATGGCCAGCCCCTATTGAAGACCATTGTAGTCAATAAAAAGAAATTCCCTGAATGTGAGGAGCGCGGGGTTGGGTCCAGGATGTTTGTGATGGGCAGCGGACAGCATGGGCAGCGGACAATTTTGATGACGGTCTCGTCTGAAAACCTCCCTTTTCTCCTGTGGCGTTTTAAAATATAGCTCTGCTGCCACCAGGAAAATGTAGAGATCTGAACCTTGTAGGGAATCTGGCATTTAAAAACCTTAACGCACAGATGCCGTGTTCTCTTCCAGCAACATCCCGTTCGCTTCCCTGCTGCCATCCAGCCAGGAAGTCACGTATGTCTGTTTTGCTTTTTACTTTTCAGTGACAGTTGTCACGAAAAAAGAGAGAAATTAAATTAATCCAGAGCGAAAGCTGTTTCACATAGGCAGTTTCTCGGACTGCTGAAAGTGAGACTGAACCAAGAACTGACACAGCAGAACCGGGAACTTGAGCCGCTGTGTAAATTTTCCTGGTTTTTTTGAAGCTGACCCACGATAATGCTGGAGGCACTAACACATTGTTTGTAAACAATGAGGAGAAAACATGTGGAGTGATGATTTACTGTTTTCTGCTGCCTGCCATTTGATTGCTTAATGCAGTAATCCACAATGGGCGAAACTGTTCCGAAAGCACTGGCTTCCATATGGTTGTGATTTTGTCAAAACATTTCAGTTCAGCAAACCCATAACCAATTGTGAGAATGAACAGTTTTGATTATCCTGTTTTTCAAAATGTAAAACAGTTTAAGAATTGTCTGTTTTTAACATCATAACAAAAAGTTTCATTTCCCGGTTTAGAGCAACTTCTGGTTTAGAAATTGGCATTAATTTATGCTTCTGTGAGCAACATTTGAACATGTTCAGAAGTCAAAATAAAATACCAAGGTTTAGACATCCAATCTCAATAATTTATGAGACAAGACTTTCTCTTCCTGACTAGCTCTCCAGAATGAAACCAGAGCCCTACCAATATGTAGAAGAAGCCACAGGGAGACAGGCGGTGGCATGTCTTGATTTTCTGCTCAGCGCTTGGGGCTTGTGCATTTTGTCGCCGGCTGGGATGTGAGTACAAACTGCTGGATTGGGTTTCGAGACCTGTGGCTGCTTTGCTCTCAGCATTAGCATCCTAAAGAAGCGGTGCAGAAGAACTGCAGCAGTGTTGCAGTCTATGGAGCTGCTTTAGGGACGCTGGGATTTTACTGCATAAAGCTCTCTTGGTGCTGGGGTGTGTGTCCTCTGCCACCCACTACCCGCTTAGAGCCACGCGTGCTTTGACTCCTGGTATTTAAGCTACTCAGTATTTGTCTGTCTCTCTGATTATCTCTTTATTAGCAGAACATCCCACATGTCAGTGCCTGAGTGACATGAAAAGAATATTCTAGTATTTCAGTATTTTCACTTTTTTTTCCTCAATAGTTTCTGACTGGCTATTTTCTGTTGGTAAATATAAGAAAGGTTTTGCAGAGACTGTGCTGAGTCTCGCAGTGTGGTTTTGATGAGTGAACATTCTAGTTTTTACTGGGTTACACAGGGCAAGACTTTTTTAAAAAACTGCTTCTTTTTATGTGCCTGAAAGGGACATTACTGTTAATGGTTTATAAGAGAAAGACAGCAGTGTATTTAAGATATCTTGAAGACATTAGGTAACGTTCAAGAGCCATGTGAAAATTCAAGTATGCCTAGAAGAAAAGAGAACAGCAAGTAGCTTGTGCGGATGTCTGCACATAGCTTTTTGTAAGCCTTTGAACTGTTTTAGATATAAAAGACAACGCCATTTCAAAGGCCACCAGGCCTTCTGCTGCTCTAATTCTTTCCCAAAGTCTTAGGTAACAGAATTCACGCTAGAGAAAGTAAGATTTTTCCTAGATTCAGTTACTGGGGCAGAACATGCTTTAAGCTGATATTATTTGGCTGAAAAGCAGTGCACAGGTAGTAGACATTAGGATGGGACTGTGGCAAAGGGAAAGGAGTGGTTCTTTTTACTCTACAGCTACACTGTTGGAAATAAAAGCAAGTCCCACAATCCACAGTGTTTACTTTGGGTTTCAATATCAATGCAATAAAATAAATTGCTTATTGACCACGTTAAAATGAGTGATGAGTCAGTACTCTGCGTTACGTTATGCATGAGGGATGTGCTTATACGTCCCCTTGAAGGTGAATCTTTATGGTATAATTTGAAGCTGGCTAGCTAGCTGTAGCATTTCTTCCATATGCTTATTTTGATAGTACCATTTTATCCACTGATCGGCCCATCTTTTTGCTCCTGTCAATTTGCATGCTGACCTGTGCAGTCGAAGGTGAAGGGACGCATACGTCCCTGCCTGTGAACGGGAACGAGAAGGAACGTGCTCTCTAACACTTGCTGCTTTAGTGACAAGAAGCTTTTCTTCTTTAAGCACTGCTTTAACTGCAAATAAAGGTATATTGCATATCTGGCAAAACATCAGCAGGGTGACCTTCTGATGCTCAGTTTATGTGCTGTGAAAAATAAAGAGCTGAGCACATCTCCCTGAGGGCTTTGCCAAATGGGGTTGATCCCGCTCGATCCTATGCAGTTAACACCGCTCTGCGGTCACTGAAGGTGGAAAGGTGGCTTCAGTGATCAGATCAGATTACTTTCAGCGTGGTAGATCCCTCAGGGGATGGACAACGTTCTCCTGCCCAGTCGCAGGGAGCTTGGTGAGGATGTGACGGAAGGGCGTCCAGCACGGCTAGCCTACTGCAGGAGCCAGACCGGCTCTATGGATCTGCTCTCAACTGTATCAGAGCCAACTGGGAATGAACTGAGGAGGGGGAGAGGGTTTGTTTCTGCTCCCACAACTCTGCCTTGCTAAGCACTCGGCTAAAGACCATACGCTATTTAGAATAGCAAGTAGCCGTATGTAGATATTTGCACGTAGCTTTTTATAAGCCTTTGAACTGTTTCACGCCAGGCACAGGTGTCGTATCAACAGCTCCTGATCTCCAGTGACAAAGGCCTCTCTATTTCTGCGTAGTTTTCTTGGAATCCTCTTGGAACAGTGCTGCTGCCGCCACTCCTGAGCCCTGCTGGTGGCCTCTCCAACACTTTGTTGTTGAAAGATTCTTGGTCTCTTCCTCCATACCTGTTCTTCTGTGTTTTAGGCATATCCAAATGCGTTTGTACCCCTGCTTGCAGGCAAAACTGGTAGTACTTCTGTGCAGAGGCATTAGAGGAAAATTTCATGATATAGTCAACAAAAACGTCTAAAGTCCATTATAGATGGAGAGAGAAAGAGAGAGAGAGAATGTTTTACCCAGTTGGAAGACAGAATATGGAAGTAAGTTACTTGCAGATCGTATTATTACAATCCCGTCCTAGACAATAATAATGAAGTATTGATGGAAGTTTTGCCAGAGCAAAGACTGCTGGGTTTCATACAGAGGAAAGATAGTATCTTCATTTAGTTTTATTAGACTCTTGATACTCTGCCCATGTATTTTTTAATTCACCACAGTAAAATTCTAATTAAAGAACAGACTTTGCCTCCCATTAATATGGCACTAAAAAAACATTTTAAAGAATGCAGCATCTTCTCTGAAAAAATTATAATGAGAAGACAAGCCACCAGTGTTGTATAGAATGTTGTCGCTCCCTTATGAAGCGTTTCATGATTTTAAACTCCTTGTAACATCTAGAGTGTCAGTAGAGTTAAAGGCTCATTAAACTCAGCAGTAATTTCTACAAAAAGAAATAGGAAATATTCTTGGATTTTTTTTGCATTCTAATTTTCACTTCTTTTGAAGCCTCTGTCAAAATAGCTCATGATGGAAATTCTGAAAACACAACACTTTGATATCTGTCAGGAGTGGAAGTTGTTTCTCCCCTTTTGCTGCTTCCAAAATATATTGAGTTCATTACAGGATTTGACAAGGCTGACATCCAAATACTCGACTTTTCTTTGACTTAGAGTGATTTTGTTTTCATTTATCTAAAATAAAAACGTACAACTAGGTAACTGTTCTAAGCATTCTACAGAATATTGTAGGAATGGTCTTTAAGCA